GATCCATTCTCTGCCCAGCAGCCTGGCAATCCTCTCACCCCTTCCCCAGATCACGTCTCCCTTCTGCTCATTCCCTTATGGTGGCTCCCGTGATACCTCTGGAGAAGCTCAAGTCTTCCAGGCCCCTGGCCCTGTCTCCTCCCCAGCCTCATCCCTGCACGGCTTCCCTGCAGCCGCATGGTCTCCTTGCTGTGGCTGTGGCTGTGGCTGTGCTTGACTGCCTCCTGCCTCCAGGCCTTTGTCCAGGCTGCCTCCGACTTGAGGGCTGTCCCCCAGACAGCGACAACCCCTCAGCTGACTCTGCCACCCCCTCCCCGTCTCTGCTCAGCGTCGTCCTGCTTTTCCTGGCCCCCTATTTAATGTTCACCTGACCCCAGGCCAAACCCCCAACCTTTTCCCCCTTCTTTTTGTTTTCATAGCACTTTTCATCCAACGAATGAGGACGTGTCCTTATGTGTCACCCGTGTGGTTTATTGCCTGTTTTTCCCTCCTCTACCTGGGATGTGAGCCTCATGAGGACAGGGAACTTTGTTTTGTGTTTTTTTTTAAACTCATGTATCCCCATGAGCCTAGCACAGTGCCTGGCACGTAGCCAGCCCTCATTCAGTTCTTGCTGAGTGGCTCCATTCACTCGCCCATCACACCTTTGCTCATTCAAGCTGTCGGCCTTCAGGGGGCTGCTTTGTGCCAGGTCCTGGTCTGGATGGGAGAACACAGAGCAGCCGCCTTGGCCTTGGGTGCAGAGCCTGCCTGATTTCCAGCGGGGAGGAGGAGGCAGAGCCAGTAACTGGCACAGGCTACGATGGAGGGCGGGTGGGCAGCGGCAGCTCATGGCAGGGGCACCATATGAGGTGACTGCTCAGCTGAGATCCCCAAAAAGGAGGCGAGAGATGGCCCTCCAAGCATGTGCAAGGGCATGGAGGCAGCCCCGAAAGTGGGCTTTCCAGGACTGGAAGTGGGTCCGTCTGGCTGGGTGCAGCACAGCGGTCCCGGGATCCTATGGCAGGGTGGAGGAGGCGTTGTGGGCGGGGACAGAGTGTGTGCCAGGGTGGGGAGTGGGGATGCTGGGAGCTGCCAGTCTGGCTGGTGCCTTCAGGTGTGGTAGGGCGGATAGAAGGAGGTGGGGCCGGACTCGGGAGGAGTCTGTGAGCAGGGGCCAGGAAGTGGGGGTGAGGATTTGCACTTTCCCGTGGAGCGCATGGGCTGTTGGAGGCTTCTGACTTCAGGGAATCTTCCATCAGCAGTGTCCTGGCCCCATGGTATTCCTGAAGGGCTGGCTGGACAGGAGCCACTGTCTGCTCTGTAGATGAGGCCACTGGGGCCCAGAGAAGGCAAGCTTTGCCTCAAGGCCACCCTGCTGGGACTGGGACCCAGATGTCCTGTCCTGGGCCTGTGCTCTGGGCGCTCACTGGGCTGGGGGCTGCATCAGGTGTCCTGAGGACTCCAGAGTCCTCTTCCCCTTTTTAGCTGGGGAGCCAGGGCCCTCAATCACACTCGTGGGGCTGCCTGTAGCCTGTTCCCATCATGGCCCATCTGGCTCTTGCTCCAGGCAGAAGGCTTGAAAAGGTGCACTAAGAACGCAGAACCAGGCCGGGCGCGGTGACTCACGCCTGTAATCCCAGCACTTTGGGAGGCTGAGGCGGGCGGATCATGAGGTCAGGAGATCGAGACCATCCTGGCTAATACGGTGAAACTCCGTCTCTACTAAAAATACAAAAAATTAGCCGGGCGTGGTGGTGCGTGCCTGTAGTCCCAGCTACTCAGAGGCTGAGGCGGGAGAATGGCGTGAACCCGGGAGGGGGAGCTTGCAATAAGCCAAGATCGCACCACTGTACACCAGCCTGGGCGACAAAGCGAGACTCCGTCTCAAAAAAACAAAAACAAACACAACACAGAACCAGGTAAGCCCGTCCTGATCCTGAGAGTGAGTGAGAGCCTTGGGGCAACAAGAGACAGGGTGGTTTCATGACTAACTGGGGGTGAGAATCAGGGAGGATTGCCTGGAGGAGGAGGGTTTGGCCGGGGGAAGGTGTGGCAGGAGATGAAGTAGAAAGGATGGTTTGAGGCAGATGGTGACTTGCAGGCAGACTGTCCATTCTTTCTCTCTGTCCTCTTTGTTTCTGTCACTCCTAGTTTCACTTTCTCCTCTGTCTGCTTTTCTCTTTTCTCTCCCTGCCTCCACCTCCTGTGCCAGGCTCTAGAGGCACTGAAGGTACAGTGTAACTGGCCAACCTGTCTTGGCTAATTACTTGACCGTTGGCATAAAAGGAAGATTAGCCGTGGTCTCTTGAGGTCCTCCCTGGCTCCCTAATCCTGTGGCCCCTCTTCACTGGCGAGGAAGGGATAAAGTCGTTCTAAGTCCTTAATTAGCTAATTATGCTGGGGCTCTGTGGCCCTGGGACTCCCTGGGCCCCAGGGAGGGCTGTGAAGTGCACTGGGGCCCAGCTGGGCAGAGTGAGGCAGGAGGGGAGGAGGGACGGGGCTGCCATTCAGGGAAGCCAGCCGGATAGGTTTGCAGGAGCCTTTCGGAATTTCAATATCCCAGAGAACAAGGGAGATGTAATTAATTGAGCAACAAAGGCCGGCCGGAGGGAACAGCAGGAGTGGGAGTGAAGCAGCCAGGCTGGGACTGTGCGGAGCTGCCTTCTCCAGGCCCTTCTCATCCAGCCTCTTCTCCAGCTGCTACCAGCCCTCTGTGCTTGCCTCCTGTCCTTGTCCTGGCCTCGGGGCTCGCCCATTCTTTTTTGAAGCTCAGAGCTGATCAAGGGCTCTGCCTGCTTAGAAATATGCCAGCAGACCTCCTTGCCCAGACACCCAGCACAGAGCCCCACACTCCTTGGAGCCCCCCGCAACCGCCCTCAGGAATGGTGCCTTTGCCCATGCCAGTCCCTCTGCTGGCCAAGGCTTCACATCCTGGAGTCCAGCTCAGCAAATGTGCCCGGAGCGGCCCCACTCCCCAGTCATGGTCCTTTGGCTCAACACTTGATTCCCTGTCCTCTTGCTGCCAGGCTGTGAGCTCTGGTGGCGGGGGGAATGGGGGTGGGGAGGGTAAAAAATTGGGTCTTGTTTGTCTTTGGATTCCCCATGTGCCCAACGCCATGCCTGGCATGTAGCTGGCATTTACTATGTGTTTCATGAACGAACGAACGAACGAACGAATGGTGGGGCACTAGAAAGGCCTGCAGTTGGCCTGCTTGAGTCAGGGGATTCCTTTGGATGGATTACCCATCCATTTATTGGGCACCCATTCTATTTTCTCCCCTCTGCTGTACACGCCTCGCCCCCCGGCTTGGGGGTGTAGCGTGGTGGAGGACTGAGCCCTCACCCTGGCCTGCTCCCGGTGGGATGAAGCCGCCTGCAGGCGAGCCCCACTGTCGTTCCTGAGAGGAGGCTGACCTAGTTTTGTGGAGAGGGAAGATGGGGTGAGCATTAATTATTGATTGGAAATCACTGCACACAGAGTTTGTGATGCAAATTCCAAATAATTATCCTCATTAATAACCACCTCAGGCTCACCCCTGGCATATAAAACCATCTGGACAGGGCCACGGTTCTACTTGTCACCATCCTTCCATCTTCCTCTCTTCAATCTTCCACTCCCTCCCCATGACTTATCACATAATTCGTTCATGAGTAGTCATTGAACAAATGTTAGGTGAGTCTGTCTTCTGGGCCAGGACCTGCTGGGTTCTGGGAATACTGAGGTGACTTAGACCAGGGTCCTGCCCCCAGAACCTTACAACCTGGTGAAAGAGACAGGAAAGTAGACAGACAACTATACATTAGGGCTAGAAGACGAGATATTAGTATGGATGGAACCTCCTAGGTTGTGCAGTATACAACATGCACAACTGTACATGGCAGCCTAGGCTAGGTCAGAGGTGCTGAGATTGCCCAGAGCAGAAGAGAGAAGGATGAACTCTACCTGTGATGATGTAAGAGTCTGGAAGCCTTCGCAGAAAGAGCATTCACAGGGCCGTGGTGGCTGAATAGGGATTTGCCAGGCAGAAGAGAGGAGCAAGGGTGTTCTGGGAAGAGGGAACAGCAAGGATAAAAGCACGGAGGTGTGAAATCTTATGGTATGTTTAGGGAACTTCAAATAATTTGGCACTGCAAGGCATAGGCTGTAAATTGAGAGAGGTATGAAGCTAGAGAGGTGGGCAGTATGGACTCTACAGGATCTTAGGAGGAGGGTGTGTACTCAAAGGTGCCCCACCAACTCTTCACCTTCCTTGGAGCCATGGACTCCTGTGTGGGCCTTCTCTGTAGAGCCTATTAGCAGGCCCTTGGCTCTTCTGAAGGTGACTCTGGGGGCTCTGCCTGGTTCTATCATGCAGTGGGAGTGGTAATTCTGGCTGGTACTGCTGTGTCCTGACATGGTCAAGGGGAACAGTGACTGCCCCAGAGACAAAGGGTATTCAGGACACATTCATTGGGCACGTACTATGACCACTCTATGCAGGTGCTGGGCATACTAAGGGGAACCAGCCTCAGTCCCAGGCCACTGAGACAACGGGGTTGTGAAAAGACACCTAGATTTTGTGTCAAGACACCTGGTCTAAATCTAGACCCTGCTGCTTCTGAGCTGTGTGACCTAGGGCAAGCAGTTTCAGTTCTTTGAGTCTCCAGCTGCCTTCTCTATAAAATAGAAATGATAGTATCAACCTCACAGAGTTGTCATGAAGACTGAAGATCACATTTGTGCAAGTACACAGAAGAGCACGTAGTACATAAAAGGTGCTCCATAAGTGCTTGCTTGTTCATTCACAATCTAGTGTAAGTGGAGCGGGGCCCTGAGCCATTTCCATGGCTTTTTGGGTGGAGGGGCAGATACAAAGGAGAGGGTGTATCTGGCAGCCACTGAACAGAATGGGAACAGCAAGGAGCTCTTGAAAATGCATCCCACTCCCCGTCCCTGTTTCTCTAATCTTGCTCTCACTCTTTCCTCTCTGGGACCTCTGCTCCCTGTCTGACCATCCCTCCACCTTTCCTCCTCCCAGGTATGCGGATCCTGGTGAACCTGCTCCTGGACACGCTGCCTATGCTGGGGAATGTCCTGCTGCTCTGCTTCTTTGTCTTCTTCATCTTTGGCATCATAGGCGTGCAGCTCTGGGCTGGCCTGCTGCGTAACCGCTGCTTCCTGGAGGAGAATTTCACCATGTGAGTTCAGCCCCTGCCATCCATGCAGCTCCAGGGACTCTTACTAAGACACAGTTTTAACCTTCTGGGTCACTGGGAATCAGGGCCAATGGGGTAGAAGCAGCAGAAAAAGAGAGGTCAGGTAGGAGGGGAAAGGGAAGTTAAGACACAAGCAGAAGTGATGCCCAGGAGGAAAAAGAAGACAGAAAACCTGAAGAGCAGGCATAGAACTTGGCTCTCTGCTCACAGCACATTCATTCCCCTTGGTGGCTGAGTCATCCAGGAAGGCTGAGCTCCCATTCCGCCGCCTGTGTATGAAAGCAGGGGGCGGGACACTCCTCCGAGAGAGGATTATTGACACACAAATCAAGCTCTGGCTCTTGGAGGAGCTGGGCTTAGTTGTCTGAAAAATGGGACGCCTATAGAACCCGTGCTTCCGTAGTGGTGGGGGACAAGTGTACGCACACACGTACCTACGCGTATGTGTTTGGACGTGAATATGCATTCATTTCAGATATGCATGGCATGCACCGACTAAGTGCCAGGCCCCAGGGAGTCAGAAACAGGAAAGAATTTTCATCCATTTTCTCACTCCCCTTTTGTTGGGCCTGTGCTCAGGTCTCAGGATGCGGCAAAAGAGGGGATCCCTGCCCTTGAGAAGCGCAGGGCTGGGAGCCGATCCCAGACACCTCTAGTGAGTGCCTCTCAGTCTGTCAATCATGGACCGAGGTGACTGTGGGAAGCGTGGGGATGTGGGGACACTGTACAGGTGAGAGCTAGTTTCTCCCTCTCCGCCTGTCTGGTTGGGGAGAGGGTAGCAGAGCTGGAGGGTGAAAGTTGGGTAGGAACGGGCCCATCCACCCATCGCTGTGGGGGAACAGTAGGGTACTTGCATAGACCACAGCAGGGGTACCTTGGTGGGTAAGGGCCCCAAGTGGGGGTTCAGGAAGGGGGTCTACACTTATGCCCACTCCCAGAAGGGGCAGGTCGTGAGGCAGGGCCCGGGGCAGTGGGACTGGGGAGAGGCAGCTGCTTTGAAGTCAGGGTAGTATGAGCTCCGCCCCTCTGTCCCACAGGCCTCTTTCCCTGGATCCTTCTGTGGCCGGCCCCTTCTTATTATGTGGGCTCAGCACACCCGACGCCTCCTCCTGGAGGCCTTCCCTCGCCCTCCCTCACCACCCCAGCCCCAAGTTGGCCATCACACAGCCCTGCTGGGGTTTCTTCTTGACTCATCTCTCTGAAATCATCTCCTGTCGGTTCATCCAAGGTCTCTGGAGGCCCCTGGAATGTCAGTTCTCTACTGCAGGGGCACCTGGGGCTTGACTCTTCCCAGGATCTAGTGCAGGACTTGGCACAGGTGCTCCCAGCTAATTGTTGAAGGAATGAGTGAGTGAGTGGATGTGTGAGTTCATTTCACCCAGAGGCAGGCTGGGAGCGAGGACTGGCTGTTGGAGATTCTGTGTCCCAGTCCCTGATGTCTCCTTCTCTGTGGTCGTCCCGAGGCCTCATGAGACAGCCCCCAGCCCTGTCTTGGATGCAATAGGGGAGTTGGAGGGAGGATGCCGTGGACGTGCTTGGGCCGTGTTAAAGAGTAACCTGATCTGGTCCACCCCCATCCCCACCCCAGGAAGGGAATAATAAATATAAAGAAATGTCACTGGAGAAAGAACGCCCTAAGGGAAGATGCTGGGTGACTGCCACGCCTCCCTCTGAGCTCCTGGCTTCATTCTCCTAGGGCGGGTGGTCGGTGATGAAGAAGAAAGGAGATGAGTACAGTTCACGCACGTCTGGGTGGGGAGCAAGGCCCGGGTCATTCCAGGTCTGTGACTCCTGTAGAAATAAGGGAGGTTTAGACCTTAACTCACAAGGCTTGTTTAGGACAAGGAGCAGAGAAGTTGGTAACCAGGGTTCACAAAGAGGCAGCAAGATCTCTTCTGGGTGATCGGAAAGCTGGAATTTGAGAAGATCCTAGCTAGGATCTTGGGGAACCAGGCAGGGTCTTGGGCAGGGGAATTCCTCAAGGTCCTCTTTTTGGGCTCTCCCCAGCCAGGCCTGTTGCCTGGAAGCCTCTAGCTCCTGGCACAGTGGGCCCTGTGAGAGGGGCAGAGCTCAGTAGTCAGGGCGGAGAAGGGCCCTTCCTGGGGTGTAACACAAAGAGGTCGGAATTGGGGCCACAGAAAGCCTCAGCCCGACCTGTCACTATGCAGATGGGGACTGAGGCCTAGATGGGAAGGGACTCACCCAGGGCCAACGGCAAGGCTTCCAGCAAGCGTCCAGCCCCTTCCTGGCTGCGTGGGTGTCAGGATACTGTCATTCCACAAACACTCACCAACCCCTTCCAGGGGCCAGGGCCTATGCTGGGCCCTGGGGATGCAGGGACCCGTTATCTTGGCCACTGTCCTCTGTACTGTCTCACTGGGGAGCTGAATGTGTTGAAAATTAGGCCTCAGGGTGCTCTGGGCTTGGCAGAGCGGGGCCTGGAAGCCCAGAGGGGTTACAAGACCAGCCAGGGTGGGCACCAACGGGGCTTCTCGCTTCACAGAGGACCAGCGGGACTTCTGGCTTCTCAGAGGATGTGACCTTGAGCTGAACCTAAAAGGTTCAAGAAAAATGTCTCCAGGCAGGCGGGGGCACAGGGAGTGGGTGGGGAGGGTATTCCTGATCGAGGCAGCCTCACTGCCACAGCGTGGTGTGTGGGTTAGGAACCCGAGCCCCAGCCTGGCAGTCAGGGTCAAATCCTGCCTCTCTCACTTGGCAGCACTCCTGGGTGTCTACCCAAAAAAGGGATGGCTTATATACATCCCAAGATGTGTACAAGAATATTTATGAGTCATAAGAGCCGAAAAACCAGGAACAACCCCAAACCATCGGCAGAATGAATAAATAAATGGCAGTGTATTCACTCAGCGGAATACTCACAGACGTGACAAAGAAGGAATTACATTTCGCTCTCTTAATGGCGTCCTTTGATGAATGAAACTCTTAGTTGTAATGAAGTCCAGTTTATGAATCATTTTTTTAGCTTTGTTTTTTGTATCCTATTTAAGAAATCTTTTCTAAAGATTGTGAAAATATTTTCCAGTGCTTTCTTTTAGGAACTTTCTCTCTTTAAAAAATCCTTACATGTAGGTCTGTGGTCCATCTCTAGTTTTGTGTATGGTTTGTGGTTAGAGTCAAGATTTTATTTATTTACTTATTTATTTTTTGACGGAATCTCACTCTGTCGCCTAGGCTGGAGTGCAGTGGCATGATGTTGGCTCACTGCTACCTCCTCCTCCCAGGTTCAAGCGATTCTCCTGCCTCAGTCTCCTGGTTAGCTGGGATTACTGGCACATGCCACCATGCTATTAAATGGCTAATTTTTGTATTGTTAGTAGAGATGGGGTTTTGCCATGTTGGCCAAGTTGGTTTCGAACTCCTGACCTTAGGTGATCCACCCACCTTGGCCTCCCAAAGTGTTGGGATTACAGGCGTTAGCCACTGCACCCTGTCCCCGTTGGGATCAAGATTTATTGATTTATTTTCAGTGGATAGTCAGTTGTCCCAGGACCAGTGATGGAAAACTCTACGCTTTCTCCACTGAATTGCAGTGGTGCCTCTATGAGACTCAGGTGACCATACGTATTTGGGTTGGATGTGTACATTTTGATTATTGATGGATGTGCCAAATTGCCCTCTAAGAAGGTTGTACCAATGTATACTCCCACAACAGTGTATGTGAGTGTCTGTTTACATTCATTCTTTTCCTGAATATTACCAACCCTGAAATGTTTGCCATTTGGATGGGTGTAAAATGATCTCATTATTTTTTCTTTGCATTTGGTTATTTTGTTCCATTAGTGTTTCTTCCTATATATTGGCCATTTTTTATTTCTTCTGTGAATTTTTCTGTTCTTGTCTTTTGTCCTTTTTTTTCCCCCAGTGGGTTATTTTTCCTATTCCTTATTGAGTTGTGGGAGATTTTCATATGCTTTAGACCAACAGTCCCCAACCTTTTTGGCACCAGGGACCAGTTTCATGGAAGATGATTTTTCCATGGACCAGAGTTGGGGGATGGTTTTGGGATGAAACTGTTCCACCTCAGATCATCAGGCATTAGATTCTCATAAGGAGTGCACAACCTAGATCCCTTGAGTGTGAAGTTCACAATAGGGTTTGTGCTTCTATGAGAATCTAATGCTACCACTGATCTGACAGAAGGTGGAGCTCAGGCAGTAATGCTCTCTCGTCTGAAACTCATGTCCTCCTGTGTGGCCCCGGGGGTTGGGGACCCCTGCTTTAGATAGTTACCTTTTATCTTCTTTGTATGTTGCAAATACTTCATCCTATGCAACAGCAAACTATGGCCCGTTTTGGTAAATAAAGATTTATTGAAACAGCTATGCCAACTTGTTTATCTATTTCCTGTAACTGTTTGCAGATTACAATGGCAAAGTTGAGTCATTGGGACAGAGGCCAGGTGCTCTGCAGAAAAATATTTGCTAATATAGCCCATTACACAAAAAGTTTGCCTACCTCTGCTTTATCTCAATTTGTTGCTTGTCTTTTTACTTCGTATATTTTGTCTCAGTGAAATTTTACATTAGTATGTAGTCGATCTGGTCGAACTTTTCCTTTACAAAACTTGGATTTTGTGTCTTACCCAGGAAAGTTATACCTATCTTGAGTTAACAAAAAATATTCCATATTTTCTTATAATGTTTTGGTGCTGATGTTCATTGCATTTATGCTTTTTAATCCACTGGAAGTTTACTATTTTTAGTTTTACAATTTATCTTAATCTACTATATCCAAATATTATTTTTAATGTGTAATCAGTATAAAAATTAAAAATGGGATAATTTATATGTCTAGTTTTGGATACCTGTCTTCAGAAAGTTTATTTTTGTGTATGGTGTGAGGTTGGGATCTAACTAGTATTTCCCAAACAGATAGCAACTATCCTAACACCACTTACTGATGGGCCCCTCCTTTCTCTGCAGGTCTGAAAAGCCATCTCTGTGATATACTAAGTTCCCCTTTGTACATGGGTTTGTCTTTGTGCTCTATGGCATTCCATTAACCTTTCTGTTCGTGTCACAGTGGTACACAGTATTAACAATAGTAGTTGTAGAGCATTTGGCTCTCTTGTAGATCTGGTTTCTGTTTATCTCTCTCCTTTTTAAAACTTGTCTTGACTATTTTCCCATCCAAATAAATCCTAGAGCCATCTGGGCAGGCTCCACAGGCCAAAATGTTGGGATTTTGATTAGGATTGCAGTGAAGCATAGATTAACCCTTCTGGATGGTCAGAGTAGGGATTGTTGTCTGTTTTATAGATAAGGAAATCAAAGTCCAGAGAGGGGCAGCTGGGCTCGGTGGCTCACGCCTGTAATCCCACCACTTTGGGAGGCTGAGCTGGGTGGATCACCTGAGATCAGGAGTTTGAGAACATCCTGACCAATATGGTGAAACCTTGTCTCTACTAAAAATACAAAAATTAGCCAGGTGTGGTGGCATGCACCTATAGTCCCATATACTCAGGAGGCTGAGACAGAAGAATTGCTTGAACCAGGGAGGCGGAGGTTACGGTGAGCCAAGATCTCACCACTGCACCCCAGCTTGGGTGACAGAGCGAGACTTGGTCTAAAAAAAAAAAAAAAAAGAAACAAAGTCCAGAGAGAGGAGGTGATCTGCCCAGGATCACTTAGATGCAAGTGGGTGGAGCAGATGGAGGATTTACCCCTCATCTACTGGATTGGTAAAAGCCAGTGCTTGTTTATTGAGCATCTGCTCTGTCTGTGTGAACCCAACAGTGTGTGTGGCCTGGGGATGCTGAAATGTCCAGCCTCCCAGGGGAGTTGGGGGCATCTCCCCCAGGAGCCATAATGAAGGTGTGTGCAAGGCACAGTGAGGCTCCCCAGAGGAGGGGACCACAGTGGGTCAGTGGGGGTTTTCTTGGCTATAACAGAGGTGGGGAATGGTGACCAAGCAGGGGAACAGCATGTGCCAAGGCCTGAAGCAGTGACAAGGCCTTCTGGGCCATCCTGCCATGCTGTATGGCCTCTCCCTTCCTGATCCTCCTGGCAGTGACCCCTCCCCTTTCCCTCTTTTACCCACCCTCACCTGTGGACAGACAAGGGGATGTGGCCTTGCCCCCATACTACCAGCCGGAGGAGGACGATGAGATGCCCTTCATCTGCTCCCTGTCGGGGGACAATGGGATCATGGGCTGCCATGAGATCCCCCCGCTCAAGGAACAGGGCCGTGAGTGTTGCCTGTCCAAGGACGACGTCTATGACTTTGGGGCGGGGCGCCAGGACCTCAACACCAGCGGCCTCTGTGTCAACTGGAACCGTTACTACAATGTGTGCCGCACGGGCAGCGCCAACCCCCACAAGGGTGCCATCAACTTTGACAACATCGGTTACGCTTGGATTGTCATCTTCCAGGTGAGGCTGCTCAGGCCTGGGGCCAACCTGGTCCTAGAGTGGGCAGCTCTGCCTGGTGGGCAGGGCTCTGTGCTAGGCATTTGCCACCCCCTATCTCACTGAAACCTGCCCAGCTTGCTGGCAGAATAGGCATTATCGTGCCCATTTTATAGACAGAGAACCCGAGGTTCAAAGAAAGGAAGCAAGCTAATTGACCACAGATGATGTGAATATTAAATGGCAAAACTAGGATCTTAACCCAGCTCTGGGTGACCCCAAAGCCTGAGCTCTTTGCAGAGCCCCAGGTTGCCTTGGGCCATATGGATCCCAGCAGGGAGGGCTGTTCAGAGAGGAGAGGCAGGATTCAAGCTCTGTTGGAGGGATTGGCTGACCAAGGCCAGGATCATGGGGTAGGAGGATATTCCCGGTGGGGACAGCCTGAGCAAAATTCTGGTGTAGGGAGTGCCAAGTAGCTAATCTGGAGTCAGTAAGAAATGTTTCTCGCCTTGTCACCCAGTGCACATAATACACACACATTCACAAAGCAGCGCTAGCCTCATGGTGTGCAAAGCGCTTGTTGCGTTGCCCCACTGCACTGACTGTCCTGTCAGCCTACAGTCTGCAGAGGATAGGCTGGGGTTTGTGTAGGGAAGGAACTAGGGCAGTGGACCTTGGGTGTATTGCTTGGCCTCTCTGTGCCTCAGTTTTCTCATCTTTAAAATGGGGTAGTAACAGCCCCCCCTCACCTTGGGTGGCTGTTAAGAATAAAGCAGGTGGCGCGCTCAGGGCAGCCAGCCCTGTGTGCAGAGAGTGCTGAGTAGAGGTTACCTTTCTGCTGTCCTCGGAAAGAAGGGGCAGGAGCAGACGGGGGAGCTGGGAATTCCCTGAGGGAGTGGTGGGAGGGCCGAACTCTGCTGCCTCCGCTGCCCTGCGCTGCCTCCACTGCCCTGTGCTGCCCTGCACTGCCCTCCGCTGCCCTAGGCACTTTGCTCTGGGGGAGCGTCAGGATCATTTGTTCAGAGCTGCAGGGTGTGAGGTGACAGCAACAACTGTGTTTTGGAACTGTCTGCCCAGGAGGGTGGGTGGCTGCTCTGGGGGTCCCACTCTGTGCATTTGCCAGAAGCCAGCAAGGACCTAGAGTTTGTCTTTCCCAAGGCTGCTCCATCCCCCAGTCTGGGAAGGAGTCGGGGTGGGGTGGGTGGTGACAGAGTCACACCAGCCTCATCACAGTGCATACTACCAGGCTCCACCGAGCTGCACCCCAGCCCTGCCAGGTGGGCTCCCCACATGCAGAAGAAGCAGCTGAGGCTCAAAGAGGGTGGGTGGCCCAGCTGATAAGCTGGAGCAGGGGCAGGCTCCCTGCTTTTCCAGCCCTCTCGCTGGTGTGGTAGACCGGAAGGACCAAGGTTCAAATCCTGGCTCCACCCCTTCCTGGCTATGCGACAGTGGGCAAGTGCCTTCCCCTTGCTGAGCCTCAGTTTCCTCACCTGTATAATGTGATGTGCCTTGTCCAGCCCCTGTGAGAGGGACTCGAGGCAGCACGTGTGATGCGTTCTGGCACACAGTGGGGCCTCTGTGTGGGGTGCTGCCCAGGCTACGGGCTTTCTGATGGGCCAGCCCTCTCTGTCTCTCTCCTCTGCGCGCGGCAGGTGATCACTCTGGAAGGCTGGGTGGAGATCATGTACTATGTGATGGATGCTCACTCCTTCTACAACTTCATCTACTTCATCCTGCTTATCATAGTAAGTGTCAGGGAGCCTGGGCTCCTAGGCGCGCTCAGAACCTGAGGAGGAGGGTCTTTGGGAACCCCCAGGGAGCCCTTCAGAGCGAGGCGAGCTGGGATGAGGGAGCAAGAGGGGCTATTTCTCAGCACCGCTGGGCAGCAGGTGATTGAAGGGGCTCATCAGGGGTGGCTGTCGGAAGCATCCATCACCTTCAATTGCTGTCATTTCTCATGTCTGGGCACTTACTTCCCCACCGATGCTCTGCTTCTGTTTCTCTGCCTTGTATCTCTGGGATACACTCTTTGCATGACCTGAGCCCGAGGTGCAGCCTCAGACTGGAAGCTTCAGAAGGGCTTCCAGCTCATGCCTGTTTTCCTGGACAGGGAAGACAAGATGCCTGGAGACTGAGCAGGGTTTGGAGGGAGGTCGCCTGATGGTGATCTGGTGGAACTCCCTGAAATTCTCAGAGGGACTCCCATCTCTTGGGCAGCCCTGCCTTGTTGGGGTAACCTGGAGATGGAGGTGGGCCCACCTGCCTCTTCCTGGCCAGCCCCTCTTGCCTGCACCCGCACACAGTCTCCCCAGGGTGAGCTCATCCACCTCGTCATGCCTGACTGCAGCTTCAGCACAGCACAGTCCCCAAAATGTCAAGGTGATTGACTCCCAGGAGCCGCTGCTGAATCCTGCTGTTGCGAGGCTGGGTTCTCTGGCTTCCTGGTGGTGGGAGAGGGCACACTTGACCCTCCAGGGCAGTGCACCATCCTGGGCTGGCAGGACCTTGACCTGGGGACCCAGGCCAGACCGGCAGGTGACCGGAGACACCTGCTGTTGTCTAAGCTCCAGTGCTTTCTTGGGGAGGCTGGAGCCTTGGAGCTATAGGAGATGCCGCAGATAAAAAGAGAGGGGCCAGATATTCAGCATTGCCATCCATGGCCTTGCATACTCATTCACTAGAACATTCAGGAAGCCCACACTGCACCAGGCCCTGAGGCAAGTGCTAGGAACAGAGCAGTGAGTAAGGCCCAGCCCCTGTCCTCAAGGAGCTCACAGTCTCGTGAGAAGATGGGCTGACAGCAGTCAGTGACCATACGGCATCTTAGGTGCCATGATAGAAGGGAGCCCAGAGAAGGCTCCCAATCCAGCCTGGAGGAGGGATGGGGAGGTGGGAGGCTTCTTGGAGGAGGTGATGCCAGAATTGAGCCGTAAAGACTCAGGAGGTCAGCAGGGAAAGAGCCTCTTGGGCGGGGGTGGCTCACAGAGCCCCTGAAGCTGGTCGGGATACTGCAGTGTGGGAGCCACAAGCCACTGAGGTTGCAGGAGGAGACTCCGGTTCGCAGGAGGGGCTAGAGGATGCTCCATCTGCTCTTGCTGTGGGGTTCAGGGTGGCTAAGGGTGCGGATGGGGTAAAGCGCAATGCTCCCCAAGCTCATTGTGAAATGGGGGACAGTGACAGCACCTTGCTCCTGGGCTCTCAGGAGGGTTAGGTGAGACAGAGCCTGAAGCCTGCATGCCCTTGGCACACAGTGAGTGCTCAGTACATGTGCTCTGCTACTATTACGGCTGCTGCTGTCAGGTCTCAGGCGGCCCTGTCACAGGACAAAGAGTGCTGGCGAGAGGCTGAAAGGGCTGAGTTTTTCCAGGCGTTGGGAGGGGTTCACAAAGCAAAGTCAGGACAAATGCGCTTCTATGTCACCTGCAGGGTCACCTCCCATGAGGACCCTGAACCCCAGAAAGGTGAGGGGTACTTGGCCTTCAAGCCCAGGCTCTAGTACTCCTTTACATTTTTATTTTTATTATTTTTATTTTATTTTAGAGACAAGGTCTGGCTCTGTCGCCCAGGCTGAAGTGCTGTGGTGCAATCATAGCTCACTGCAGCCTTGATCTCCTGGGCTCAAGCGATCGTCCCCCCTCAGCCTCCTGAGTAGCTGGGACTATGGGCACGCACCACCATGCCTGGCTAATTTTTAAATTTTGTTTTGAGACAGGGTCTTGCTATGTTTCTTAGGCTGGTCTCAAACTCCTGGACTCAAGTGATCCTCCTGCCTTGGCTTCCCAAAGCACTGGGATTACAGGTGTGAGCCACGGCCCTGAGCCCCCAGTGCTCTTTCTTTCTTTCTTGTCTTTTTTTTTTTTTTTTTTTTTTTTTTTTTTTTTTTTTTTTTTTTTTTTTTTTTAAGACGGAGTCTTGCTCTTGTTGCCCAGGCTAGAGTGCAATGGCCTGATCTCGGCTCACTGCAACCTCTGCCTTCCGGGTTCAAGTGATTCTCCTACCTCAGCTTCCTGAGTAGCTGGGATTACAGGTGCACACCACCACACCCGGCTAATTTTTGTATTTTTAGTAGTGACGGGGTTTCACCATGTTGGCCAGGCTGGTCTCGAACTCCTGACTTCAAGTGAATCACCCACTTCGGCCTCCCAAAGTGTTGGGATTACAGGCATGAGCCACCGCACCCGGCCTCCTTCTGACTTGAAAAGTTCTTGGCTCATCAGGTCTGAGCCTTCTATTTTACAGATGGGGAAGTGGAGGCCGGGAGGGGATGGAGGCCTGCCTGGGTCGCCCAGGGCAGCAGCTGCAGAGGCAGAGGTGGGTAGGAGCCTGACAAATGTGTGGTCCCAGAGGGCAGGGCCCAGCCCTCTCTTCCTGCGACCCTCACACAGGCCTGGTGCAGGGCAGCTCCCCAGGAAGTGCTTGTGGACGAGGTGACTGAGACAAGGATGGGAGGCCATCTTCTTACCCGATAGGCAGGGGATTTTCCCAGAGTCCTCTGGGCCAGTAACCCTCCCGGACCCTAGCTCCTCAATCGTCGTTGATCAGGCTGCAGCCGGGGAGAGCCTCCTGGAAGGCACCTCCGAGGGGGATGAAAGCTATCTGCTCTGGCTGGCTGGCAGCCAAGTTCACTCCCAGGCTCAGCAAATGCTGGGGAGGGGGCTGTGCCCTGAAAGCCTGGAAACTGGAGAGGAGCCCCACTCCTGGAGCCATCAGGCCACGAGGAGATGGGATCCCCAGTGCCAACCGGGGCAGCCTCTCCCCCTCCATTTCCTGTAAGCACAAATAAAGCCACGTGAAAACCCCGAGGGACCTTCTCTTTTCTCGTCTGGGGTCCCAGCCGAGGCCAGATTCTGACCAGAGAGAAGGCAGGGCTGGGCAAGGACTCAGGGCCTGGGAAACCCGAAACGGACTGTGGCCTCCCTCCCTGGGCTCAGTGCAGATGTCCCAGGCGGATGGGGGCCAGGCCAGGGCCTAGGGGTGTGAGGGGAGCTGGGCTTCGAAGCAGATCCCAGTCGGGCCTGGGGAGCTGCCTAGGCCATTGCCTTCTCCTGGAGCGAGGCCTCAGCGATCTTTTCCTGTCCCCATCTGTGTCTGTGCCTGTGTCTCTCTGGGCCCCTCCACCTCTCCTGCCTCTTTCCCTGTCTCCACTCATCCCCTGCATCTCCCCTCCCTTGTGTCTGTCCTCTCTGAGCCTGTCTCATTTTCTTTGTCATTGCGTCTGTGTACCTCGCTGTCTCTTTCTACCTGCCCCTGCTCTGGCCTCTGTGTCTCTGGTTGGTCCCTGCCCCTCCACCTTGCTTAATTTCTGCCTCTGTACCTGCATCTCCATCTCCGTCTCCATCTCCCCATCTCCCTCTGCCTCCCTCTCCCCATGTCTCCCTGCTGTCCCCACCCCATGACTCTGCCTCTCTCACCCCTCTGTCCCCTCCATCCGTGTCCCTGTCCCTGTCCTCTCCTCCCGTTGGTCACAGGTGGGCTCCTTCTTCATGATCAACCTGTGCCTCGTTGTCATAGCGACCCAGTTCTCGGAGACCAAGCAACGGGAGCACCGGCTGATGCTGGAACAGCGGCAGCGCTACTTGTCCTCCAGTACGGTGGCCAGCTACGCCGAACCTGGCGACTGCTACGAGGAGATCTTCCAGTATGTCTGCCACATCCTGCGCAAGGCCAAGCGCCGCGCCCTGGGCCTCTACCAGGCCCTGCAGAGCCGGCGCCAGGCTCTGGGCCCGGAGGCCCCGGCGCCCGCCAAACCTGGGCCCCATGCCAAGGAGCCCCGGCACTACAGTAAGTGGCCCTGCATCCGACACGGCACTCAGGCACTGCATGCCAAGTGTCGCTCCTTTCTAGCACGTCCAGCAGGCCCAGCAGCCTCCACATTCCAGGTCTTCACTTTGTGCTCAAGTGTTTCCTTCACAGCCCCCAGGGAGCTCTGTCCCCATCTCTGCCTGCCCTCTCCTGGCACCTGTCAGAGTCTGTACTGGACTGGGGCTGGTGCTGGGTGGAACTCAGCCTTTCCCTGGAGGCATTCGATCCCTGTGTGTGTGGAGATAGCAGCTCTGCCCCGGGAGCCACACTTGAGAGGAATGAACAAGTGTCTGTCCTCAGTCTTGGGAAGCTCAAATTCTTCCCCTGCTGCAGCCCACATCACTCCCTTCTCTGGGTTCCTTCTGCTGTCCCCTGCTTTCCAGCACACCCGAGCAATGACCCTGGGTGCCTGGCACAAAGGGGCTGTGGGTCTGCCCCCTCAAAGCTGTGGCATGTTGGGGACTCATGCCACCCTGTGCTCTGTGCTTGCCCTGGGGCTGCGGGAGTTACACTTTTGTTTTTTTTTTGTTGTTGTTGTTGAGACAGGGTCACTGAGGGAGTACAGTGACACCAACACAGCTTACTGCAACCTCGATCTCCTAGACTTAAGCCATCCTGCCGCGTCAGCCTTCAGAGTAGCTGGGACTATAGGCGTGCACCCCCACGCCCGGCTAATTTTTAATTTTTTTTTCTTTTTTTGTAAAGACAGGTCTCCCTGTGTTGCCCAGGCTGGTCTCAAACTCTTGGGCTCATGTGATCCTCCCACCTTGGCCTCCCAAAGTGCTGGGATTACAGGCATGAGCCGCTGCCCCTGGCTGAGGTTATGCTGTTAGGCTTGGAAGGGGCTGCCCTGTTGGTTGCCTCATCTGTTCCAGGAAACAGTCCTGAGAAAGGAGCAGATAGTAATATTATCCCCACTTTTCAGATGGGAAGACTAAGGGTCAGGGAGACGAAGGGAGCATCTCAGAAGCCGGCATTGCCAGGCTTTGCAGGGGCCTGCCTCCCCTGGAAATGATCACTCGGAAAGAGGCAAGCCAGGGCCACAGAGGTGGGCCCTGCCCCAGCCCCCAGCCCCCAGCACCAGTGCCACTTCTCCCAGTTGGCGCCGAGAAGGAAGTCAGCAGGCATGGGGACTGTGCTTGAGCAGACGCGGGCCTCTGCAGGCCTGTCTCCTGCCTGTAAAGTGAGGACAGGGGCCCCCAGCATGCAGCGTTAGCAGCGGGAGTCAGCCACCCCAGACCCTGCTCTGGAAAGCCCAGTCCTTCCAGCCTTCATGGTCTGGGAATCGATTCTTGGGAGGCGAGCAGAAGAATGCACGCTCAGAGCTGCCGCCCACCCATCCTTGGGTGCCAGCCGTCCAGGCGTGGGCTTGGAGGAGGCCCCAGGTGGCCCGTGGGCAGGCCCGGCATGCGGATACAGGAGCCGGGGCCAGGCAATGCTGGCACCGGTGTTGCTGGAGGACGTGGGGGAGAAGCGTTCACTCCAACAGGCTTCTCGCGGCCGCCTAGCCCCCTCTCCTGGCACCTGTGCCCCCTTGCCCCCGCGCCTCCCCTCTGCCCTGGAAAATGAGAGTTGGCAGCCGCCCCATGTCCAGGTGGGAGCAGTGAGCCGGCGCGGGGAAGGGCTTTGGCCTGTCCTCCGGGGTGAGATGGGACTGGCCGCTGGGCTCCTGGCTGCCTGCTCCGGCTCCAGAGGTGGGAACGAGTCAGGGGTGCTTATTTGGGGCTTGGGAGGCAGCTGGAGGCAAGTGTGGAAATGAAGGGCAGGTGTGACATGCTTTTCTTTCCCTTTCATGTTACTTTTTTGGCTTACACAAGCAAAATGTGTTTATTCTAGGAATACACAGGAAAACACAAAGAAGAAATTAAACCAGGCAGAGAGAGGCCTCTCTGGCACCTCTTTGAGATGGTTCACAGATCACAGAACGCAGTCCGGGGCCAGCCCAGGCTTCTCCTGTGATTCTGGGGCAGCAAAGGGATGAAGTTCCCTCTTCCCAGCGGGCCTTCCTGCCCGCTGTCCCCACCTCCACCCCTTGTGTGGAGGGAAGTCCCAGGGGCTTCTGGAGTGAGGGTCCGCCCCTGCCCCAGGGCTCCATGCCTCCTCCCCTCCCTGGGAAACAAACCTCCCCTCCCCACTCCCCACCTGCTGTAAGGACAGGAAACTTGAGAACACCAAGGCCACCGTGGCCTCCTCTGAGGGGGCCCGCCCCCACATTGGCCTGGCTCTTTCAGAATCACATTTAGTTCCCAAGCTGCGTGACTGGGGCTCTGAGTCTGTCCTGTGCTGACCCAGGGCCTGGGCCAGGAGGGATGGCCAGTCAGCATGGACACGTGCCCTGCACCGTGCTGGGCCCATCATGTGCCTTAAGGGAGATAATCCTCCTATAGCCTGCATGGTGGGCGTTCCTGCCCCCACATCTACAACAGGGGTGGACAAAGCTCAGAGAGCTGCAGCCGCTTCCCCGGGGGCCCCCCGCCCTTCCAGGCTGGGTCAGCTGGTTCCAGGCAGACCTGTGGGCCTGGGAGCGGAGCGCGCTCAGATGTGTCCCTGGGTGGATTGGACCTGGTGTGGGCAACAACTCTACACCCCTCCCGTTTGCTTTTCAGAGCTGTGCCCGCGACATAGCCCCCTGGACGCGACGCCCCACACCCTGGTGCAGCCCATCCCCGCCACGCTGGCCTCTGACCCCGCCAGCTGCCCTTGCTGCCAACATGAGGCCGGCCGGCGGCCCTCAGGCCTGGGCAGCACCGACTCGGGCCAGGAGGGCTCGGGCTCCGGGAGCTCTGCTGGTGGCGAGGACGAGGCAGATGGGGACAGGACCCGGAGCAGCGAGGACGGAGCCTCCTCGGAACTGGGGAAGGAGGAGGAGGAGGAGGAGCAGGCGGATGGGGCGGTCTGGCTGTGCGGGGACGTGTGGCGGGAGACGCGAGCCAAGCTGCGCGGCATCGTGGACAGCAAGTACTTCAACCGGGGCATCATGATGGCCATCCTGGTCAACACCGTCAGCATGGGCATCGAGCACCACGAGCAGGCCAGTGCAGCGCAGCCAGGCTGGGCCCGCAGGGGAGGTGTGAGGGCCCCAGGACCCTGGCCAGGCCTGGGCAGCCCCATGCATGTGCCTCGGTTTGTGTATCTGTCCCCTGAGAAGTGCTGGGTTGAGCTGGGTCCAGTACATCCATGCGACCTTACTGCCCAGCCAGGGCCAAGCTCAGAGGAGGGAAAGGCTGGGGTGTCTACTGAATGAATGATGAGTGAATGAGTGAAGCTGGCTAGGACTGGGCCTCTCTGGAACTCTTTTCCTCCTGAGCTGCTCGGCCTGGACACCAAGGCAACCACAGTGCATCCCCTGCCAGTCCCTGCAAATCTGACTTCTATTCACCTCTCCACCTGAGCCCTTCTGTTTTCTTCTTTAAAAAAAAAAATTAACAAAAAAAAAAGAGAGACAGGGTCTTGCTCTGCTGCCCTGGCTGGAGTGCAGTGGCACGATCAAGCAATACTGCCTCTTCAGCCTCCCAAGTAGCTGGGACTACAGGCGCACGCCACAAAGCCTGGCCACCTGGGCCCTTCTGTCCATTCTCCCCCAAACAGCTGGGGTGATTTTCCCAGAGGGCCAGTCTGGTTGGGCTCTTCCCTGCCTCAAAACTTCTGTTGCTCCTCATTGCCCTCAGGACAAAATCCAGACTTTTCCACTACCCTCAAGGCCTTTGTCTCTATCACAACGTCCCTTCACCAGGCCAGGGTGTCCTGTCCTCTCCAGTGACTCCACCCATATAGCCCCATGGCGCTGAGGGTGAGTGGCCCTGTGGTTGTCCTGTGTGTCCTCTCTGCATGTCCCTCCTGTGTGCTGGGAGCAGGGAGGACAAGGAGGAGTGGGTGCTGAGCTGAACAGTGTGCCCCAGGCCCCTGGGCCATCATGGGGCTGGCCGGCTCCAGGGATAGTACACAGGGGAGGGGACAGCTTCTGGGAGGTGGTGGGAGCTGGGGGATGATGTGTGTGTGAGGAGAGCAGGGCCTCCGTGGGGATGCGGGAGGGAGGGGCAGTGGGGTTAGCACGGATGCCTCAGTCCACAGGCACCACCCAGGGATGACAGCCTGGATGGCAGGTCTGGTCCTGCCCCATTTGGAAAAACACCATTTTCCGGCTCCTGCCATCCACCAGCCCCTGGATGGGGTGGCTCCCTGAACCCACTCCCCAGCTATGCGAAGGATCCCACCTAGTAGCTGGCGACCCTGAGGCCCAACGGGGGGGATGTCACTGGCCCGAGGTCCCGCTGCCAGCTGGGGGCCAGGTTTGAACCCACTTCTTTCTGCGGCAAGACTGACGCCCCGAGTGGGCTGGGGATTTCGACGTACTCTTTGCTTCCCTGCGGCCTTCCTTCTGCGGAGGCCCTGCATGCCGCACCCCATGGAGTCACACTTGCACCTCCCTCTTCGTTAGCTCACCAAGCACAGGCTCCATTCAATTTACTTAAATGGGACCCCCGGGGCTGCCGTGACACTCTATTTGGAGCTGCTGGTTTGCCAGCCATTCTGGCTTAATTAAAAAGGTCTCTGGGGAGGGCTGGCGGGAGGGCTCTCTGCAGGGGGAAAGCTGGTGAGACAGGTCCCCCAGGACCCCCTTGCTTGGAGTCCTGCCTCTGGCCAGTGCCTGGCCCAGGCCTGCGGAGGAGCAGCATTCCTGCCGAAAGCCCCACAGGGAGTGAGTACTATAGGGCTTGCTCCAGTCTCCAAGTGGGGCAGCATCGAGGGGGCCTGCACAGCCCTGCTACACTCAAGCCCTGGCACTGTCCTTGCCAGGGGCTCGCTCGAGCCAGCTGGTGAGGGCCAATTTCCAGACGCTCGGGAATTTTGCAAGCCAGTGATGAAAGAGTTGGGCGCTTGAAATTGGCCGTGGAGGGAGTATTTACACCATGGAAAATGGCAGATGTTACACATCAGGGCTGTTTGCAGAGGCCTCTTTGCCAGGGTACAGCTGGTCCCTGCCTTTTCACCCACCCCATCCACATCAACACCACGGCCAGGGCAGGTCCAGCCTCAGGCCAGGCCATGGTCCCTGTCCAAGCTTCCTCAGGATCTGCCTTTCTGGCCTGTCCTCCCTCCCTCCTTCTGCCACATTTGTTTGAACATGGTTTCTAACCTCGAATCTGGTAGAGCCATTTTTTTTTTTTTTTTTTTTTTTAGATGGAGTCTTACTGTGTCATCTAGGCTGGAGTGCAGTGGTGTGATCTGGCTTCACTGCAACCTCCGCCTCCCGGGTTCAAGCAATTCTCCAGGCGTGTGCCACCCCTCCCAGCTAATTTTTAGTAGAGACGGGGTTTTGTCATGTTGGCCAGGCTGGTCTTGAACTCCTGACCTCGGGTGATCTGCCTGCCTCAACCTCCCAAAGTGCTGGGATTACAGGCGTGAGCCACTGCGCCCAGCCAGGTGGAGCGTCTTCTGGGAGCAGTAGGCTTCACGTGGCTCCCTGACCAGGCTGAGAGATGAGAAATGCTGTTCCCACTGTGCGTCTCCTGTCTGGTCACAGGGAACACCTGATTTCCTCATCTACTAAGCAGATGTCTTTCCCTCGTAGGGACAGGCCACTATTTACGGAGCGTGTACTGCAGGCCAGGCCCTGTGCCAGCATGGTGCCAGTGAGTCCAGCCGCCCTCAAGGCAGGGATTATTACCTCACCCCTCTCGTACCCTTGGAAGGCCGCTGCTCAGGGAGGCAAATAGATCATATAACGTTTGGGTTTCAGTCCTGGTTCTGGCCGGGCTTGGTGGCTCATGCCTGTAATCCCAGCACTTTGGGAGGCCGTGGCAAGAGAATCACTTGAGCCCAGGAGTTCAAGACCAGCTTGGGCAACAGAGTAGGACCCCATTTCTACAAAAAATAAAAAAATTAACCAAGTGTGGTGGTGCATGTCTGTAGTCCCATCTACTTGGGAGGCTGAGGTGGTGGGAGGTTTGCTTGAATCCAGGAATTTGAGGCTACAGTGATTGGTGATCATGCCACTGTATTCCAGCCTGGACAACAGAGCAAGACCCTATATCAAAACAAACAAAAAATTCCACATCAGCCAAACAAACCAATCCTGGTTCTGCTGTTGACTGGCAGGGTGGCCTGGAGTGTATCACTTGCCTTCCTCACCTGGCACCTCCCATCTGTAAATGGGTGCACGGATCCCCCCACACAGTGGCTAAGAGGGTTGACTGCATTGTGGGTGCAAGGATCCCCCCACACGGTGGCTAAGAGGGTCGACTGCATTGAGAACCTGGTACTTAGTAGGTGCTCATTGATGAGTCACTGCTTCAGAGTCTTGTCTGAGTCTCACACCCACCACCCCGGGGTGCGTTTACCATCCTCTGTCTGGAACCTCAAAAAATTAATTAAAGTAAGATTGAGGAGGAGGATGAGTCTCTGAAATGTCCTTCATAAAGCAGCTCCAGTGGCAGCCATGGTTGCCCAGGCTCTGCGCAGGGCTTGACAGTGGGCCCGCTGGTATTTTTGCTCGACTCCCTCGGCTCCCAGACACTGCTCTGCGGGAAATGCTCCACCCCCATGTTTATTCTGAGCAGCCCTGTCTGAGGTGGTGCTCGCAGAGAGAGGTGGCCCAGGGCTTCCAAGGGGGGTGCAGGGAGAGAAGGAGAGAAGGAGAGGGTGGGTGAACTCTCTCAGCCCTTCTCTACAGGGGAGGCAGCATGGGAGGCCTTGCCCTATACCCCATTCTGGCTGGCAGGGAGCTCTGTGACACTGAGGGGCAGGAGGCGAGGGTGTGACATCTGTGAAGTGGAGCAGAGTGACCCTGGGCCTGGTCACAGGGTGCTCGAATGACAGGTTAGATTGCAGGCACTCAAGCCTTTAGGGTGGCCACTGCTGCTGGAATCATGGGGGCATTACCCAGAGAACAGCTTACTCATCGAGGTTCCTCATGGCAGCAGATGCTGTTTCTTGCAGGGCCTGGCCTAGAAGGACGGGATGGGTGAGGTGGGGGTCGGCCAGGCAGGGGTCTGTGTGTGACTCATGAAGTGGTGAAATGGGGCTGAAATTCCCACCTCTGGGTAGCCCGGGCTGTGTGACGGGCAGGTGGGACAGGTCAGCCGGGGTGGCCAGGCTTCTCCAGGGAGGCCTGATTCCTTCATCGTCACCGCTGTCATTGCATCACTGTTCTTCCTGGTGTGATCCTCCAGCAGCCTTGTGGGGCAGACTAGGGGAGCATCTTATCCCCACCAAGCAGATGGGGAAACCGAGGCCCAGTGAGGTAGATGGCTTGCCCAAAGTGCCAGGGTGAGCAGCGACAGAGCCGGGCTCCCAGAGGTTGAGGTCAGCTGTGGACAGTTGAACTGGAGGAAGGCATTGCCCCTAGGAGCAGCGTCTGTCTCAGCTTCTCTCTCTCCTGCACACACCTGTGCAGGCCCTGACTCCTCCTGAGCTGGGCAGGGCTGCCCTGCAGCCTCATGTCCTGGAGCTGGAGCCTAACCACCAAGTTGGAGAACAAAAAACAGAGGGTTGGGGAGCATGGGCAGCAGGGCAGAGTGTGGGGAGCCTCCTGGGTAGGGCTGACCCCAGGCCAGGCTATAGTTACTGGCCCCAGCTCCCAGGGGACTGCATTCAAAGCCTCTGAATCAGTGGCTGGATCAAAGCTGGCTTTATTCTCCCTTCAGCAGCCCCTGACATGTCAAGTCACTGCCAACCCAGGTCTGGGGTGACTCTGGGAAGTGAAGGATGGAGTGGCTTAGTGGCTGACATTCCAGCTCTATAGGGGCACAAGGGAGAGAGACACCAACATGGACAGCAGTCACAGAAGGCTTCCTGGAGGTGATGGCACTGGGGACAGATCCTGAAGGATGACTAGGAGTTCATCAGTGAGACAGAGGGAGAGGGACCAGGAACATAGTTATCCCCCCAAAGGACCCCGAGTCCTCGAGAAGGATGTGTACAAGGGGCAGGGCAGACAGTGCAGGAGGCCAGGAGGGCTGTTCATTCAGGAGGACCTTGGAGCCGGTTTTATCCTTAGGGCAATGAGGAGCCCAGAAAGGCTTGCAAGCAAATGACACATCTGTGCTGAACTGGGGCCTCACCAGAAAAGCGGGGCCGGTGAAGGCACCTGGGCCATGGAGGTGGCGATGTGGCCAGAGGGAGGAGACCTAGGTTTGAGATCTGACTTCAACACAGCCTGGCCATGACCCTGGGCAGTCAGTTCTCTTTGAGTCTCAGGCTCCCTGTCTGTAAAATGGGGACAATGTAGGCGTGAGGTTGAGAGGAGATAATGCCTGGGGCGTGCTCAGCACACCCGGCCCATGGGAGGGGCCTCATCAATGCTAGCTGCCATTATTATGATGGGGATGGCGCTGGGCTGGAGGGCTTCCCGGTGGCCAGCTGACTTCTGCACATCCTTATCTACCCCTACAGAAACGGCAGAGGCTGGGCAGCCTGGTGCCACCTGAATCTGCGTCAGGCAGGGACTTGCAGGCTCCCGCTGCTGCCCCCTACCTCCTGCCTCCAGCTAAACCTGGTGTTTTCAGCCCTTCAGCACCTCCGCCTTCACTGGGTGCTCTTCGCCACCTCCAGCAACCTTTCTGCCATCTGTCTGTCTGTCCGACTGTCTGTCTGCCTGCTCTTTTTGTGTCTCTTTCTGGCCATATCTATGATTCCCATGGTGTCACTGCTTCGTTGTCCTGGTCCTTCTTCACGTCCGTGTCTCTGCTTTCCTCTCTGTATGTCTCCGTCTCTCCATGCCCCACCTTTGCCCCTCACTCCCTTGTCTGTATCTGTCTGTCTGTCTATGTCCATCTCCGCCCCTTCCTCTCTACGTCCCCTTCTCCTCGGGCTCCCACTTGCTGTGTCTATTTTCATCTGTGTGTCTCTGTCCCAGAGAAATGCTTGCAGGAGTGATGGATGGTCCATTAGAAAAAGATTAACAGGTGCGCTGAATGGAGAAACATCTGTTGTGAGGGAGGAGAAGGCGCGGGGTGACCTTTTGGATGGCAGTGGCTCCCCGCATCCCCGGTGGGAGTGCGTGTGTGGCGCGTGTGGCCAGAGCCAGCTGGTCATCATCACGGAGTGTCAGCATCTACAGCTTTCATCTCCGTGGACATCGCTTACTGGGCTGGCAAATTGCTGGCTCTGAGCAGCATCTGGACCCTGGCTCAGCCAGGGGTGCTGGGCCTCAGCCCTCCCCACCGAGGGTCCCTCTCAGGGTCCCACTCCTCTTTTGGGACGACTTCTTGAGTCAGATGTAATTACAGATGGAAATGGGCCTTCTCCTTTCATCTGGGCTTGAGAGGAGCTGGCAGTTTTGCTAGTTTTCCCAGGCACCAGGCTGGAAGCTGGTGCTTGGGTTATTTTTTTTTTTCATCGTCCTTTTAACCCACATGGAGTCAGAGTCAGGTCCTTGCAGTTCCCTGTTGCTGATGGAGAGGGCTCCTGCTTTCGGTCCTCTGCTCTCCTACCTCCCAGCCCGTTGGGCCCTCTGCCTGCACAACCTTCTCTGCTCCCTGCCACCGGCTCTCTCTTAGCTTTTAGGTCTCTGCTGAGATGTCGCTGCCTCCTGACCCCACTAGCACCGCTCCCCTAGCCACCCTCTGCTTTCCTGTCATCAGCACACACCAGCTTGGTTTGTTAACTTGGTTTACTGGGCTTTGCCCCCAGAACATGAGCTTCTCAAAGGCAGGGACAGTGCCCTGACTCCCTCACCACTGCCCACCCTGGTAGCATGAGCCCAGCACATCATATCATTCAAATCTGTGGCAGCCATGCAGGAATGAATGAATGAACGAATGAATGAATTCGGCTGTGGTCCCCGTGTGGTGTAATGGGAGAGCAGTTTGGCCATGCAGGAATGAATGAATGAATGAATGAATTCGGCTGCAGTCCCTGTGTGGTGTAATAGGAGAGCAGTTTGGCCATGCAGGAATGAATGAATGAATGAATGAATTCGGCTGCGGTCCCTGTGTGGTGTAATGGGAGAGCAGTTTGGAGTCCAGCTTGGTTCAGTCCCCTGCCTTGCCCTGCCACGTCCTTGCTGGATGGCTCTGAACAAGTCATTCCCCCTCCCAGTTTCCCCAGCCTCAGTCTCTCCATCTGTGAAACGGAGAGGCTAACTTGTGTTGGGCGTCAAATCAGGTCTCAACAACGGTGCTTCCTGTCTCTGTGATTCAGGCAGGGATGACCTGGCACCACCGTGAGCACACACCAGACACTTCAGCAGTCCCGGGGAAGCTGTGGCAGGGAGAGAAGGGTCTGGGCCTCCTAGGAGCCTTAGAGGAGAGGTTTGGATGAATTAGTTCATTCACTCGATCCTCTAGTTTTATGGATAAGGAAACTAAACTCCAGAGTAGTGGGGAAGCGACTCTCCCAGGACCGCACAGCCACTTAATGTCCAAACCAAGCCCGGACCCCTCTAACTTCCCCCACTGCGGCCAATCGTGGCCTCTAGTGTGGCCTGCTTTAAATACTGGGGTTCTTTGAACAATGCCATTTGCAGAACATCAGTTAAAAACCGGGAGTAAACAGCTCTGGGAGCAGAGGGAGGCTCTGCGGCTGCTGCGGCAGGAGTTAGTCTCCCTCTGACCACCCAGCGGCTTTGGGCAGGTCCTCTTACCTCCCCGGGTCTGAATGTCCTCCTCTGAGAGCTGTGGGGTGTGCTGAGAGCCACCACGGGTGCTGTGTGTGCAGGACTGTGCCTGGCATGCAGCAGGTACATTGTGTCCATCCTCCTTTCATGGGGCACGATGTCCCCAGCCACCCTTGGTCCTGAGACAGCCAGTGCTGGGAAGGGGAGAGAGAAGTTCTGCATGAACAGGGGTTAAGGGCAGGAGTCTTGGAGCCAGGCTGCCTGGGTTCAAATCCTGGCCCCACCACTTGTTAGCTCTGCGGCCTCAGGCAAGGGACTGGTGTCCTGTAAACCCACATCCTTGCCTGCCTGCAGATGGGTTCTTATGAGAGACTAAGTGAAGTGATGCCTGTAAAATATATAGAACAGTTCCTGGCATGTGGTAAGTGCTCACTAAACGGGTTAGGGTCGTGGGTAAACAGGGAGTTTCTGGTGACGCCTGTCCTGCTTTCCTGTCTTGCTTTGCATCTTAGCCGTGTGATCTCAGGCTGGCCTCCAAGCCTCAGTTTCCTCATCTGTGAAATGGGTATCAGAACACTTCCCTCGTGGTGCACTACAAGCCTCATTTCCAAATTTGTGGAAGGTCAGCCCTGTGGGGTCCCCCAAGTCTCACCATCTCAGCAGACCTCTCAGGACCCTGAGGTAGCAGAGATGAGAGGCCCTCAGGGCCTTGTACACGCAGCAGTGGGGAGACTGAGCTGTGGTGAGGATACCGACCCGCCAGGCCACACAGCCAGGGTGGGTGTCCAGAGGGGATCCACCGCTGCCCTCTGGTCTGACCGGGTCTCCATTCCCCACCCCAATGCCCCACAGCCAGAGGAGCTGACCAACATCCTGGAGATCTGCAACGTGGTCTTCACCAGCATGTTTGCCCTGGAGATGATCCTGAAGCTGGCGGCATTTGGGCTCTTCGACTACCTGCGTAACCCCTACAACATCTTCGATAGCATCATTGTCATCATCAGGTACTCCTCCACCCTCCCCCCGGGCAGCAGAGTGGCTTGGGGGGGAGGGGACAGGATTTAATGTGAAGACCCTAGCCACTATATAAAGGACATAGGATGGCAGTGGAAACCCGTTGCACTGAAACAATTATCGAAATAGTCAAACATTTGTGATTTAGCAACATATTTTTGCAAAGTTAAATAGCACGATCTAGCAGCGGGTCTGTGACTGCTATCATTCCAAGGAAGGGATGGGCATAAATAATATTGGGAAACAGCTGCATCGGCTGTCACATGACATGAAGACATCAGTTACTTTGATTGCCACAATGCCATAGGTACTGCTAATTCTCTGTGGCTTCCTGTTTACATTCATAACCAAAAGACACATTAAATCTCATAAAGAGGACAGTGACATCCACAGAGCTCCTGGATTCTAGCCAGAGATTTCTTGTGGGGGTGGTGGTCCATGGACTCCAGGTGAAGAGCCCCTGATTAGCTGCGTGGAGCAGCATCCAACATATTTGTCAGATGGATGGATGAACGGAAGCTCTGACTCTCTGTTTTCCCTTCTCCCTCTGTCTTCCTCTCCCCCCGGCCTCCTACTGCTCCCTCCTACCTGCACCCTGGGCCTGCCCTGTGGGGCCACAGCATCTGGGAGATAGTGGGGCAGGCGGACGGTGGGCTGTCGGTGCTGCGGACCTTCCGGCTGCTGCGCGTGCTGAAGCTGGTGCGCTTCATGCCTGCCCTGCGGCGCCAGCTCGTGGTGCTCATGAAGACCATGGATAACGTGGCCACCTTCTGCATGCTGCTCATGCTTTTCATCTTCATCTTCAGGTGAGCCTGCCCTGCTGGGGGCCATACCTCAGGGCCTGCTAGGGCTGTGGGCGGGAGCCTGGGGGATGTGGTCCGCTGTGCTTCTCTGGACAAAGCCACCTGGACCTGGGTGTGAAGGCTGACACCGTCCCTCAGTCCCCTGTGGCTTTCAGCAAGCATGACCCCCTGAGCCTCAGTGTTCACCTCTGTAAAATGGGACCCACGCTGCCCCGCCTCCCCCTGCCCGCATTTTACTGAGTTGACTGGGAATGAAACAAGGTGGGTGGGCAGTTTGCTGCGTGTGAGTCTGATGAGCCTCGTCCATCCTTTCCCCAGCATCCTTGGGATGCACATTTTTGGCTGCAAGTTCAGCCTCCGCACGGACACTGGAGACACGGTCCCTGACAGGAAGAACTTCGACTCCCTGCTGTGGGCCATCGTCACCGTGTTCCAGGTGAGTGGCCGCTGTGTGTCCATATGTGCTGGGGAAGCGATGGGACAGTAGTCCTTGGAGGGGCGGGACTGACAGCCCCCATGCCTCCCTGGAGAGCCTAGCCCTGGACTAGGGGTACCCCAGGGCTAACTGTGTCTCCCCAACAGATCCTCACCCAGGAGGACTGGAACGTCGTGCTCTACAACGGCATGGCCTCCACCTCCCCCTGGGCCTCCCTCTACTTTGTCGCCCTCATGACCTTCGGCAACTATGTGCTCTTCAACCTGCTGGTGGCCATCCTGGTGGAGGGCTTCCAGGCGGAGGTGACTGTGGTCTTGGCAGAGGAAGCACCCCCACAGGGCCTGCAAAAGACTGGGCGAGGGAGAGGTGGCCTGGATGGGGGAGGGCTGCAATTCAAACTTCTAGCAGGCAACCTGTTCCCAAAGGAGGGGGTTGCTGATGAGGTGGTGAGCTCTTCATCATAGGAAACATGCAAATGGAAACTGCATTTGCCATCTCTGCTCTCCCCCAGGGATGTAGGACTAGGTTTCTCCATCTCTGAGATTCGAAATCCCCCAAGATTAGGGACTCTGGGCCCTGCCCCCTCCGTTCTCTGAGGCTCTTGGGATACTTGCAGTCAGGCAGATGTAGGGTTGTGGCCTAGGTTCTTGTTAGCATCTCGTTTCCCTTTTCCAACCCTCAGTTTTCCCATCTGTAAAATGGTGGCAGAAACACCTGTAGAAAAATTCAGGAGGGAGCTGGAAAGGGAGGAGCTGGGCTGACCGGCATTTTAACATGAGGGATGCTCTCCCAGGGTGACGCCAATCGCTCCTACTCGGACGACGACCAGAGCTCATCCAACATGGAGGAATTTGACAAGCTCCAGGAAGGCCTGGACAGCAGCGGAGGTAAACAGGCCCTCGCTTGTCACCTAGAGGGCCAAGATCCTTCCCCACAGATCCAGGTGGGCAGAGGGGACAGCGTCTGACTTCCCCTGAAGCCCAGGCTCAGGGACTGCTACTTTTCTATGGTTTGTTGTTTATGTTCATAATTGGAAAAAATGTGAAATCTCAAAAAGAGGTCAGTGACGTCCATGGACCCCTGGGATTCTAGGCACAGGGGTAGCTGCAGCCTACCGCATCCCTCCACACACCAGGGCCCCTTGGTTAGAGCCTCAGGGCCTTAGGTCGAGGCCCAGGTTCTGGTCTTGCCTGGCACTACCAGGCATCCTGGAACAAGCATCCCCCAACCCTAGCCCAGTGTCTTTCTCGGTAACCAGGGCGGACAGCCCCTGCCTTGTTTCCCATTGTGGGCATGGGAGTGAGGTGCCAGGCTGGTCCTGAGCACAGAAGGCAAGGGGTCCACACATACCTAAATAAAGTTGAGAGCCCTACAGGTGGGGCAGAGGGGAGGCACTGTGATGGGGTGCAACCAGGAAGGCTTCTTGGTAGAGGAAGCCTCCTCAGAAAAGCTCTCCATTTCTGCTCCTTCCTTGTTTGTTTGTCTCGTGGCTCCCTTGCTCTTGTTCTGTCCTTCTGTCTGCCATCTGTCCCTCCCTCTGTCTCCATCTCACTCCTCCAGATCCCAAGCTCTTTCCAATCCCCATGACCCCCAATGGGCACCTGGACCCCAGTCTCCCGCTGGGTGGGCACCTAGGTCCTGCTGGGGCTGCGGGACCTGCCCCCCGACTCTCACTGCAGCCGGACCCTATGCTGGTGGCCCTGGGCTCCCGAAAGAGCAGCGTCATGTCTCTGGGGAGGATGAGCTATGATCAGCGCTCCCTGGTGAGTCCTTGTGGGGAGCTCTGGATGGGCGCTTCCTGCTGGGGTACGTGTGGAGGGGCCCTGAAGAGAGGTACCTGCCAGTCCAGCCTCAGACTCTGGTGCCCAGCCAAAGTCAGGCAGGGGCCATATCTGTTGCATTCCTGGGTGCCAGTGCCAGAGCGGGACCTGGCAATAAGGAATGAATGAATGCCTAGTGCCAGTGGGGTCTGGTGCAGAAAACTGGGTTTTCATCTCAGCAGCAATGTGTAGGGTAAAAAGAGCTGGGCTTTGAATCCAGCTTCTGCCACCTCCAAGCTGTGTGACAATGAGCAAATTACTGCCCTTCTCTGAGCCTCAGTTTCCTTACCTGTAAAATGGGAAGATGGCCCTAACTTGCTGTACCTTCCTCAAGGGAAGTGAGGTGGCAGAAGGGGATATAACCTCTAGGTGGACGTGCCCCCATGTCCTCATGGATGTGGATGGAGTGAGGTGGGACAGGGAGAGGAGTTCTAGGATCCATTCCGTCACCCGCTGGCCAGGCGAGTGACCCTCTTAGAGCCACAGTGGGGGTGCAGGCTGCCTTTGGGCACCTGGTGCCCCACCCATGGGTGTGCCTGTGGGGCGCTGACCCGAGCGGGAATTCCTCCCAGTCCAGCTCCCGGAGCTCCTACTACGGGCCGTGGGGCCGCAGCGGGGCCTGGGCCAGCCGCCGCTCCAGCTGGAATAGCCTCAAGCACAAGCCGCCGTCGGCCGAGCATGAGTCCCTGCTCTCTGCGGAGCGCGGCGGCGGCGCCCGGGTCTGCGAGGTTGCCGGAGACGAGGGACTGCCACGGCCCGCACCCCTGCACGCCCCTCACGCCCCGCACGCCCCGCACGCCCCGCACGCCCCGCACGCCCACCACGCTCATCACGGGCCCCATCTGGCACACCGCCACCGCCACCACCGCCGGACACTGTCCCTCGACACCAGAGACTCGGTGGACCTGGCCGAGCTGGTGCCCACCGTGGGCGCCCACCCCCGGGCCGCTTGGAGGGCGGCGGGCCCAGCCCCCGGGCATGAGGACTGCAATGGCAGGATGCCCAGCATCGCCAAGGACGTCTTCACCAAGATGGGCGACCGCCGGGATCGCGGGGAGGATGAGGAGGAGATCGACTACGTGAGTGGGGACGGGGCCGAAGGGACCTGGTGCAGCGGGATAGGAAAGAAGGGGGTGCGGCCACAGGAGGCGGGGCCCCAGCGGGCGGGCCCATGGGGGGCGTGGCCGGGGCGTGGCCGGAGCGGCTAGGGCTTCAGGTGCGAGGCAGGAGGAGCGGGGCCAGAACTGCCCACCCCTGAGCTGGGCCCGCTCCTGAGAGAGAAGCCCTCCCTGGCTGACCCCGGGGGGCAGAGAGTTCGGAGGTGACCCTGCGACCCCAGCTGGCGGGATGGCCGCATGGGCGGAGACCGGCAGCCCTGCGCATCGCTAACCCCCGGCGCTCCATCCTTCTTTTGCCAGACCCTGTGCTTCCGCGTCCGCAAGATGATCGACGTCTATAAGCCCGACTGGTGCGAGGTCCGCGAAGACTGGTCTGTCTACCTCTTCTCTCCCGAGAACAGGTGGGCGGGGCCAGGCCTGGGGTGAGGGTTAGAGTAGGGGTGACGTGGGAGGGACGGATCTCTGCCGAGCCAGGCAAGGCCATTGGTGGTGCTCTCCCAGACCACAGCGAATCCTCCTGGCCCAGAGGTGGAGGTCTCCAGGGAAGAGTGCAGCCTCCTGAGGGCTGCTGGGTGAAGATGGATTTGGGGAGGAGGATTGGCTGGAGGAGGTCAGGGAGGAGATAGCCTTGGCTTCCAAGATCCCTGGGGAGCAGGGGTCCCCTGGGCTAGGCGAGAACTTTAGGCAAGACAGATGTTGGTGGCCAGGCTCTCCTGGACTCTCGTCTAGTCTAGGCCATCCCTGTGCTGGGTACCAGGTTGAACCATCCTCAAGTAGCCTGTATGGCTTGCATCTCAGGGGACATCAGAAGGCTTCCTGGAGGAGGAGGCCTTTGTGCTGGGCTGTGGAGGCAGGTGGCAATCCAGTAGGCACATCAGGGGTTGTGAAGAGGAGGAGGCTGGTGCAGGGGCAGGGAGCAGACTGAGGGAAGGCCTGGGGCAGAAGCAGAGGGTACCAGGCAACGTGGTATCCTCCTGAGAGGCTCAGGGATCTGGGCTAAGCCTTGAGTGCCAGGGCAAGGTGGGTGACCTCATGGTGTGCGTGTGTGGTCAGAAGAGGTGGCGCCAGGTGGGCACCCTGAGCAGGTGTAGAGTCAGCACCTGCCATGTGGCCAAAGGAGAGGATAGGGGTTGCTTCCTTGAGGCCAGCCTGGTCTGCACTTCTGCCTGGGCCCTCTGCCTTCCTTCTGGCCAGGGTGGGAGGCAGCTGACGCTCAGGCGGCCCCCACCCACCCTGCCCAGGTTCCGGGTCCTGTGTCAGACCATTATTGCCCACAAGCTCTTCGACTACGTTGTCCTGGCCTTCATCTTTCTCAACTGCATCACCATCGCCTTGGAGCGGCCTCAGATCGAGGCTGGCAGCACTGTGAGTGGCTGTAGCCTTTGGGCAGGGCAGGGGCCAGGCCAAGGGACAGCTTGCCAGGGCTGAGGGGGGGCAGGGAGACCTCCCACCATGGGGGAGGCGGGACAGGGAGTTTGCCCTTGGGGGAGGTGGAACTGGGAGTTTGCCTTTGGAGCGGGGAAAGCCTCTGTGAACTGAGAAGTGGCAGCCTCTTCTCTACGCACCTTGGCCAAAGCAGATGCTGGCCAGTGGCCAGGCAGCTCTGGGAGCCCCTGGGCCCATGGTATCTCCCGATGCTTTCAGGAACGCATCTTTCTCACCGTGTCCAACTACATCTTTACGGCCATCTTCGTGGGCGAGATGACACTGAAGGTAGCTCCCAGCTTCACCCGGGGCCCCTGACCCTGGGTCAGCCCCTGCCTCAGCTTGTCACTCGCCTGCCATCGGCCTCATTCCACTCGTAGCCCCATAGCCCACCCCTCTGGGTACCAGCCCCTGGGCTGGGCTCCCGCGACCCAGAAGGGGTCAGCCTTGTCCCCATTCACAGGAGTCACAACCCCGTCAGACAGACGGGTGCAGGGAACACTGAGTGTGATGGAGGCACCTGCTGAAGGTGTGGGGCGCAGGGGAAGCATCCCGTCTGGGGCGCTTTCCAGGGCGGGCAGTTTTGAATTGGATTTGCCAGAGGCACCGGAAACTTAACGGGGCGGCCTGCTAGGCCCTGACCCTGCCCCGTCCCCGCCCATCACCCACCCTCAGAGAGCGGCCTGACCCCCCCCCTTCCCTCCAAACCCGCCACTTGCAGGACCCCGCCCCCTCCCCCCGAAGCCGACATGGCCTCGCCCCGCCCCCTCGCGCAGAGCCCGGCTGGCCCCGCCCACCTACCCGGTCCTCCCGCGGCTGCCTGACCCCGGCCCCACCCCTGTCCCAGGTGGTCTCGCTGGGCCTGTACTTCGGCGAGCAGGCGTACCTGCGCAGCAGCTGGAACGTGCTGGACGGCTTTCTTGTCTTCGTGTCCATCATCGACATCGTCGTGTCCCTGGCCTCGGCCGGGGGAGCCAAAATCCTGGGGGTCCTCCGAGTCTTGCGGCTCCTGCGCACCCTACGTCCCCTGCGGTGAGGAACCCTCCCTGGCGGATGGGGGAAGGTGTCATGCACTGTGCAGAGAAGCCACGGGTCGGTGGAATTGGGCCCTCACTCCGCCCTCCCCTCCCACCCACTCGGTCCTCCAATAGTGAGTGCCAAGCACCCTGAGCTGTTCCCGGGGGAGGGGACTGCAGACCCTGGGGGTGGGGCATGCTGGAAGAGCAGGGCTGAAGCTGGATCCCAGTATTGCTGCCCACTCTGTGTGTCCCTGAGTGGCTCGTTGCCATCTCTGGGCATCAGTCCCTAGACCAGGGTGTGGTGTGGACCCGGAGGAGCTGGGCGCAGTGAGGGGTGAGGGCAGGTGCCCTGCTGCTGCTGTAGATCTGAGGCCTGGGTGCAGCTTGCCTCCTGCTCTGCCAGTGTCTGGGTTGCCTGGCCGCTTTCTCTGCATTCCTGGCGACTGTCCTCATGCCCCAGGATGTTCAGCCCTGGTGAGCCCTGGGGGCTCATGCCCTGGGATGCTCAGCCCTGGTGACTCTGGGCTGAGTAGGGGCTGCCTCCTGGTCAAGGGATTATGTGTGCCTGGCCTCTCCCTGCCCTCAGTGTCATCAGCCGGGCGCCGGGCCTGAAGCTGGTGGTAGAGACACTCATCTCCTCCCTCAAGCCCATCGGCAACATCGTGCTCATCTGCTGTGCCTTCTTCATCATCTTTGGCATCCTAGGAGTTCAGGTGAGGGGTGCCCAGGCTGGGCAGGGACTGGGCTCTGTGACTGGGGAAAAGGAAGTCTCAGACAGCCGGGGGAGAGACTCCACATTCCAACCTCATGCGCCTTGCCCGCTGTGGGCTCCTCCTCCAGGGAGGGAGACAGACATGGGCCCAGATGACTGAGCACAAGACAGGCTGAGTAAATGCAATAGAGAGGCGGGTTCCTCTCTGACTTGCAACCCTCACCCGTGAGAGCACCAACTTTGCCCCCTTTCCCCAGCTCTTCAAGGGCAAGTTCTACCACTGTCTGGGCGTGGACACACGCAACATCACCAACCGCTCGGACTGCATGGCCGCCAACTACCGCTGGGTCCATCACAAATACAACTTCGACAACCTGGGCCAGGTGAGCACCGCCCTCCTAGCCCTGATCAGACCCTCCCCTCTCTTGGATGCCAGTGGCTCTGGGAATCACAGACCTGGCTTCAGTTTTGCACTGCCAGGACTGACACTGACTTCTCCTCTCCAAGCCTCAGTTTCCTCTTCTGCAAAATGGGTAAGGGTAGCACTCACCTCTCAGGTGGGACGAGGCTTAGAGAGTCTGTGTGCAGAGTGCCCAGCAAACGCCTTCACTTAGTAGGTGCTTTGTGAACATTGGTTCTTGGCTCCCACCCCCGACCCAGGGGCCCCTGACAGGAGTTTGAGAATCAAGCAGTCCTGGAGGTGAATCCAGCTCTGCCACTTTCCGTAGGTGTGGCCTCCCTGAGCCTCAGTTTCCTCATCTATGAAATGGAAATGTTACAGCCTGCCAGGCAGGCTGCGGTCCTGGGGTGGTTCCCTCTCCTGTCACCCACCCACTGCTGTCTGCTCTGTCGACAGGCACACCCCTGCCTGGTGTCTGCTTTCCCCTTGGTTTCCTCTCCTGGGGGCCTGCCAGGCGTGACCCATCTGGGCAGTGCCCCAGGTGAGACCCCTTGGCTGGCTGCCTCCCCTTCCCTGCTCTCATTTCTCCAGGGCCTGCCCAGGAGGCCAGGTATGTCCACTCGCAGGCGTGCCTTGCCCCAGGGCACACAAGAAGGAGCAGGCTCCAGGCCCTCGTCCCCCGCTGGCTGATGGGCAGTCTCCAGCTAGATCCCCCTGGAGGGCTTGCCCCCCAGTGGCACCTCAGAGGGGAGCCACAAGGCCTTGGAGGGGCAGTGAGTGCCCAGGGAAAGGGTGTCGGGAACCGTGACAGTCACTACCCCTGCCCATCTGGGGAAAAGATGTCTTAGGAAGTTGAGGGGGAGCTCGCCAGAGGCCTTTTGTGCCCATGCTCCTGACCCCCTTCACCTATGGGCCCTGCCCCAGTGCCAGCCCCGCCCCTTTGGAGCATTTCTGGGTCTACCTGGCACCAGGCTCTTCTGGAATCCCTCATGGGGTGTTCTCAGCACTCGGAGCCACCTGGAGGGTTCCGGCCTGGCCTGCAGCCTCTGACTCCTCAGTGGCCCTTACCAGCTGTGTGCCCTCAGACAAGTGCCAGACCCTCTGTTCCAGTGTCCTCATCTGTCAACAGGGACAGTGATGGCAGGTCCTTGGAATGCAGGAGCCTCCTGTGCCCTTGGCAGGGGGGCTTCCTCTGCCCTCCCTGCTCCTGGGTGTGAACGCTTTCTGGACACCTTCGGCACCATTCCCACCTGGAAAGAGAAGAGGAGGGGTCTGTGATCTGGATGGTGGGAAGGAGGAGCCAGTGCGGGGCCAGAGACTCATTCTAGAACCGCATGTCCTGGCCCACAGTGGCAGGAGCACAGAGCGGGGTGTGACCACCTCTGCCCTGGGGAGAGGGCGTCCTGAGTAGGATATGTGACCTCCGGGCAGTTTCTGGTGAAATGGGACCCTTTGTGAACCTACTAACTACTGGTGCAAGGATGGCACAGGAGGCTGTGCTCAAGTTCAGTTCAGAGAACCTTTACTGAGCACCTGCTGTATGCAAGGTTCTGTGCTGGGTGCCGGTGCTGCAGAACCAGATGTGACCTCACTGAAGGGACATGAGGATGCTGATCTGCCATCTCTGTGGGAGCCTTGGGTGGCTGTGTTCTGGGGACCACCTCCTTTTCAAAATTTTACAAACCAGGGAGAGGAATTATTGCCATTTTACCAATGAGGAAATGGGCCCAGAGACATCGAGGAACTTGCCTCAAATCACATAGCCAGTGAGTGGCACGGCCTGGGCTCTGACCCAGGGTTCCTGACTCCTCTCATGAGCTCCTGTTTTCAGATGCTAGGGCAAACGTGTCTTACCCCCTGGAGTAAGGATGGCAGGGACCGTCTGGTTGAGCCTCAGTTGGCCCTCCCAGCACACCTGCCAGAAAGGTATTTGTTAGCTCCATTCTGTGGGTGAGGGGACAGGAGTTCATGAATTTTTTTTGCCCAAGATCACACAGCTGGATGATTTCAGAGCTGAGACCAAAACCCAGGACTGTGGGTCCAGCACTTTTTGTTCTGTAACAGCAACTACAAGAGTATGTTGCAGGCACATAGTACGTCCTTAGGAAAGGTTTGTTGGATGAGGGCACAGCTCTGTCACATGGAGAAGACCTCTTTGTCCCTCTGTCTCCCAGGGGCAGAAGAATAGAGAGCTGAGGAAGGGTGGCTGCAGCTGGCATCACTCATACTCCTCACTCCTGCATTCCCCTTCCCCATGTCTCCCAGGCTCTGATGTCCCTCTTTGTCCTGGCATCCAAGGATGGTTGGGTGAACATCATGTACAATGGACTGGATGCTGTCGCTGTGGACCAGCAGGTGGGTGTAGCTGGGACCAGGTCAAGCCTTGATGCTGGGAGGGACATGGTGTCCTTGGGGCCCAGTGGTTTGAATTTGAAACTGGTACCAGCGAGACCCACAGCCCCAGTGTCTCCCCACTGTCAGCACAGCCCACCCCTCACATCCTGGCCTGAATCTTCACCATTAGAGCCACTCCTTGGGTAGCGTAAATCATTGTTACATTTGCTTTGGCAAATCCCCCCTGCTCTGTGTGGAGAGGCATCTGAGCTGCTCCTGCCTGGAGGGGCACAGACCCTGGTGGGTAGAAAACCAAGTGCAGGCAGAGAAGAGGGGCTGAGCCAGCTGGCAGAGGAACAGAGAGGGTGAGAGTGTGATGTGTTTAGGGAATTGGGAGTTGGGGGCTAGGAGTAGAAAATGAGAGGCAGAAGATGGGGAGAGGAGGCAGGTAGGGCTAGGTGGTCTGCAAGCCCCCGAGTGTGCAATGACAAGGGGCAAAAGTTTATTCTGAGGGCAGAGAGAGCCAGTGAGGGGCTAACAGCAAGAGTGGTGTCCCTGCTTGTCAGGTCTGCTTGTCAGTGCAGCCTCCTGAGGGCTGCTGAGTGAAGATGGATTTGGGAGGGGGATTGGGTGGAGGAGGTCAGGGAAGAGACTCAGCCTTGGCTTCCGAGACCCCTGGGGAGCAGGGGTCCCTCTGGGTCTAGGTGGAGACTTTAGGCAAGATGTGTGGCTGACCAAGGTTGGCTGTATTCAGACTGAGGGGGTCACTGGGAGAAGAAACAGAAAGATTCTCTAGCTCAAGACAGGGCCCACTCAGTGGTGGAGGCAGGGCTGTGTGCAACTCCCAGGTTGGTAATGGACCCCTGGCTCTTGGCTTCATGGGTCCCACCCAGTAAGACTCTGGAGCTGGATGTGGGGGTGGCGGTATTGGGTGGGAGGAATGAGAATGCTTGGCTGCATCTTCCTCTATTTCCTTGTCTGCTCTGTCTCCTCACCCCTGCCAGTGCACGCATGCACATGCATACATGGATTCCACCAAGGAATCTGTGCATCCAAGTTTTCCTCTCTTCTGGCCACCTTGTTTTCTGCCTTATTTCTGGATGGGTGAAAAAGTGGATGGATGGAGGTATCGATGGAGGGGTGGCTGGCTGGCTGGGTGGGAGAATGGGTGGGTGGTGAATAGGTGGATTGATGGATGGATGGATGGATGGATGGATACATGGGTGAGTGGATGGGTAGGTGAATGGATGGGCGAATGGGTGGGTGAGTGGATGGGTGGATGGATGGATGGGTAGGTCGATGGGTCGATGGGTGCATAGGTGAGTGAGTGGATGAATGGGTGAGTGGATGGGTCAATGGATGGATGGGTGGGTGAATGGATGAATGAATGGGTGGATGGGTAGATGGATGGATGGGTGGATGGATGGCTGGGTGGATGGATGGATGGGTGAGTGAGTGAATGAATGGGTGAGTGGATGGGTGGATGGGTGAATGGATGGATGGATAGATTGATGGATGAGTGGGTGGATGGATGGGTGGATGCATGGATGGATGGGTGGGTGGATGAATGGGTGGATGGGTGGGTGGGTGGATGGGTGGGTAGATGGATGAATGGCTGGCTGGCTGGTTGGCTGGTGGGTGAATGGATGGGTGGATGCATGGATGGGTGAATGGATGGATGGGTGGGTGGATGGGTGGGTGGATGGGTGGGTGAATGGGTGGGTGGGTGGATGGATGGGTGGATGGATGGATGGGTAGATAGATGAATGGCTGGCTGGCTGGTTGGCTGGTGGGTGGATGGATGGGTGGATGCATGGATGGGTGAATGGATGGATGGGTGGGTGG